GTACACAAACACTGATTCATACAGTGATACAATACATAGTCTTTCTGTGATACTGTCAACATTTGCTAAGAATTTTCCTCTTGTGAAAATTAATTCTTAGTATTACTAAAGGAGAAACATTGTGTCAGAGATTTGCAGCCGTGGTAGCAGAGACTGTTGCTCTCCCTTTCAAAGATGCTGACTAGGAGGATTGTTGAAAGGAGAGCGCTGTAAGTTCCCATGTTAGTTTTTCCAGCCACACCTTCATCAAGAGCCTGTGAGGTAAGTGCTGTGATTAGCATCTACATCTGGTTTTTAAACAAGGCCGTTTGCTGTCGGCAGTTCTGACTCCTAGAATCTGGACTGGTCACAATTTGTTCAAAGCCTGCAATTCAGTTTCTTACAGCTACAGATGAATGCACACCTGAAGTAACCTTTTGGAAGTTATGAAATGCATTTAGTTTGGCTTCACCCCACTGAAGACCTGCAGTGCCTTTTTTGATCAACACCTGCTAGAGTAGTATCTAATTTGTCATGTGACTGGGACAGAAGCCTTTCAAAAATGAGTTTTCCAGAAAATTGTAACTTTTAACCTTTTAGAAACCAAGAATACTGTTGCATAATAACAGAGGTATCTGAAAGGTATACCTTCAGGTATCAGTAACGCTTAAGGAGGCTCAAAAGAGTAATACTTAAGAACAACTCCAGAATTGGACTTGCAGGATTCACCTCCCATCTCCTCTATCAGTAATCCCGACTGAGCTACAGTAGTTGAGTTCAAATTGTATGTATTTATATAAAATATATATATATCACAGATACCATGTATCATATATAATTTATTAAATATTCACCTTATTTATATATGTATATAGGATAAGATAGATTGGAATGCAATCTCACAGTCCCTCAAGAGCACCCAGATCAACTCTTTGTCTTCTCTTGTGCATAAGAGAAAGTAGAAAAGATCGCATTATGGTCTGTATCCCTCTCCTGTACCGAGTCCTTTAAGAAAGAGAACAGAAGACCGCCTTTGAGTCTAGCCTTCAATTACAGGATAAGTTGATGCGAGTCTGGAGCAGCTTTATTTCCCATGATAGTGGTCTTAGCCTACCTTTCTGTTTGGGAAAGACTTGATTTTTAAACATCTGTCCATCTCCCACCCCTCCCCCAAATCTTTTCTTTCACTTCCTCTCTTTCCCCACCTACCATTTCTTTTTCTGCTTATACGGAATGGCACAAACATCACACGATTTCTTCAGTTTGCTAGTACTCCCGGTGTGAGCCGGATAAAATCATTTAACGAGAACTGTCCTTGGGTAAAATACAGGCGTGCTTTGTTTTGCTGCGCTTCACTTTATTGCGCTCGCAGATACTGCGCTTTTCACAAATTGAAGGTTTGCGGCAGCCCTGGGCGGAGCAAGCCTGTTGGTGCCATTTTCCCAAGAGTCCAATGGCTCCATCTGCTCACTTTGTCACTCTGTGTCACATTTTTGTAATTCTCAACAATATTTCAAACTTTTTTATCATATTTGCTACAGTGACCTGTGACCCATGATAACAACCTGCTGCAAGCTCAGACAATGGCTAGCAATTTTTAGCAATAAAGTATTTTTTCATAAAGGTATGTACATTGTTTTACACATGCCATTGCACCCTTAATAGACTACAGTGTGGTGTAAACATATCTTGATATGCAGTGGGAAGCCAAAACATTTGACTTGTTTTATTGCGATATTCACATTTTTGCAGTGGTCTAGAACTGAACTCGTAGTATCTCTGAGGTCTGCCTGTAATGAAATTGGAGTCTTGAATGTCAGAAACTCCTTTCCATCTTTCCATCCTTCGGTTTTTCTATTCCTCTCTTCCCAGCTTCCTTGCCAGACTGTTGTCTCATCAAGGAATGAGTGTGAATTATTAGCATAATAGGCCTGCGATTGGTTGCCAAAAATGTTTGTTTCTTCTTAATATCCTGTTTTAAAACACAGAGCTTTCCACTCTGGAAGAATGTATTGCTAAAGGAACCCAGAAGGCAAGGAAAGGAGGAAAGAGTGACAGCGACATTGCTACTGACTTCGGCTGCATGGATGGACTTTGAAAGACTTGAGAATTACATAAGACCCTTACCATACATGTAGGAAAATATTCCATTTCTGAAACATTAATAGCCACTTTATTGGAATTGTAAGGCTATTGTTTGATGGTAGTTTGATATATATACTGTGTATTCGGTATAGAAACAAAACCAAAATAATATAATTTACCCTCTTTGATGGCCATGTAGTATCAATCTGGTCTCATTAAAAAAGAAAAAGAAAGAAAAAATATATATATCACCCACATGCTTCTATTGTATTTGTCGGATAAAGTCCTGAAAATGGCATTAGGGTTTTTTTCCCCCTCTCCTTAGACATAGTAACATAATAGATACATACTATGCACTTTGCTCTTTTCCCCCCACATAGTGTATCTTAGGAATCTTTTAAAGCCAAGCCATATAGAATTACTTCATTATTTGTAAGGACTGCATGCTGTTCTAGGCTATGGTCATACTAAACCTATTGAAATAGTTGATGAGCACTTAGGTTTCTTATATCTTATATTATTAGTTGCATTTATTATCATTTTACATATATTTCACATATATGAGTATAGGGGTTAACATTTAGGATGTTGATTCAAAGGGTATGTGTCTTTAATTTTATCAGTATTGCAAATTGCCCTCCCTAAAGGTTGTAGTCATTTATGCTCCTTACTCCTTATATATTTCTCTTTCCTCTTACTTCAGAACACTCCCATCAGAAACATATAAGCAGTAAATGACTATTCATCAACCCCCTCTCCTACACAGCCTATTATCAAACCTTTTGGTTTTAAGCAGTCTTTTATATGAAAATTGGTATCTCAGTGCAGTTTTATTATGAGTATTGATCATTTTTCAGCCATTTCTATTTCCTTTTCTTTGAATTGTCCACGTCCTTTGTTCATTTTTCTGTCAAGTTGGGGTTTCTCTTATTGATGTGGGAGTCTTTGTGTATTAAAGAAATTTAGCTCTCTGTTTGAGTTGCAAGTACATTTCCCAGTAAGATTACTTTAGACTTTGTTTATTTTTCCCATGTGAAAGAAAGTCTTTACTTTTATGTCATTAAATGTATCAATCTTATGTTTTATGACTTCTGGGTTTTGTGGCATTCTTAGGCCTAACTCCTCCACTTCATGAGTGTTTTCTCCTAGTATTGTAATGTTTTTTGTTTTTCTTAAATACTTAGCCCTGATTTATTGTGGAATACAGTATGATTTAGGGCTCTAAGTTCACTTTTTTCTGAGTGGTTATCCAGTTGTATCATGATCATTTGTTGAATAACCATTTTATCCCATTTGAAATGCCACTTTTTAATATACTGAATTCCCAAGAATAGTGTCTCTTAGGTATAAAATGAAAAATCCCTTGAAATAGGTTTTCCTAAAATGCATTTTGTTTAAATAAGATAGTAAAAAAAAAAACTCAGAAGGGGTACATATTGATTGTAGCCTTAAAATTTTGCCTAATATATATTATGTTTGAAATATATGTAACTGGATCTGAATTCAGCAGTTAGGTGAATAGTCATCATTTTATGTATATGGCTACATTTGTGCCAAGATAATGTATTAAATTGCAGGAATGTGTTTTTTTTTCTTGCATTTATTATATGATATTAAAGTTGAGACACATACATGACCAGACCAGTGAATTGAGTGCCTGAGGTATGGTTATTAGAACATTACTGTCTTTATTCAGTGTAAGTGTGAACCAGAGTAAGAAATCACCTATCTCCAATACAAGATTATTTTCATTATAGAATATACATAATTATTTTGTAGATTTAGTTGCAAATATATAGCCTACTTTGACTCTGAATCTTGAGTTTTCCTAATAAAGTTTCTTCAATTTGTCCTGCCTGCTTAATGTTTGAAAATCCTTTCTGCTCAAAAGGTCTTCACTCACTTAGACTAGATTTCTTGAATTGCTGCCACATGTCCTCCTCTGTCTACTTCCCTGGCCTTTTTTTTTTCTTTAAAAGGAAATCATCTGGTTTATATCATAAAGGATTTTTGGGGACAGTAGGGAGAGGGTGAAAATAATATTTGTGAAAGAAAAGGTTAATATTTAGTTGTGTAAACTCTAGGATGAATTGTTTTTGGTTTTGTAGAGACTAATAGGACATGAGGCTCAAAAAAAATGAGGTTGAATTATATTAAGTTTGTTTCTTTAAGTACTCTGTATGGGGGGGAAAGATGGAATCCTTAATAGGAGGTCATCAGTTTTTGTTAACCACACCCACATAAAGTATAGGATTCTAGATTCCAGGTCTAGGATTCTAGACTCACTATGTTAAAAGGCAGGAAACCATTTCTTAATGGTTTAGCTTCTCTAAAGTATAAGTGAAGTTGATGACACCGTGTAAGTAAAAAACAAACTTACAAAATTATCCAAAATAGTTTTACTCAACCACAGAGAAAACATGCCCTGCAGTACTTTTGCTTTTGTGGATTTAAATAATTACATTTTATTTTTCATAATAATTCTTTTCTAATTTTCTAATTGTAATAATAATTACACTTCTTCAGTAAGATGTCTAGGTGGAGGTTTTCGTGCTATTTCATTTCCTAAGATGCACAGGAATTGATACTTGGGTTGGGTGTTGGATGTACAAACACATTTGTCATATTTTGCATCACGAACAGTCCACGGGTTGGCTGTTACATGCTGAACTTTCTGTTCTAGACTTTCTGCCAAGAACTTTATGCAAAACTCTGGTTTTAGTGAAACAGGTTTTATTGTTTTTAGTCAGAGTTGTGTTATAAGCTGTTGTCAGCTCTGCAGTGCCGAGCAGTCGGTATGTATACATGGCCGTGAAAACCACCCACCAAAACAAACCTGTGTCTGTTCAGCTATTTGTTTTTCCCTCCCATTCCTGTAGCCTCGTTTCGTGTTGTTTACTGCTGCAGGGCTGAGATGGTGTCATTTTCTTTTCTAGGAACTTGGAATTAGAATTCCTCGACCACTAGGACACGGACCAAGCCGATTCATCCCAGAAAAAGAGGCATGTTGTTTGTGAAAGTACATAGTGCACTGTATGCTTTTAAGGAAAAGCTTTCATGACCCACATCTTGGCATCTGAACAGCTGTTGGTCAACATGTTTTTGCAGAGTTGATCACAGTTAATCACCGTGCTTTGGCAGTGAATCTATGGGATTAGAAAGCTGTTACAGAGATTTCTAGTATTTCATGACGCTTTTCTAGCACCCATATTTAATCAAGGAAATGTAAGACTTGTTTTTGGCCAGTGAGACTCCAGCTGCTTATATTTAGATATTGTTTAGGTGTGCCCATAGCTGCGTTACTTGGTCTTGACCATCTCCACAGGCTAGTGTCGGGGCGACACTGGATCTTTAAATCTAAGTATTATAGGCTCTTAGGCTGTTCTCAAAGGATTGTTTGCTGTTCCCCTTAGATTGTATGACATTGTTAAAGGAAAGGCATTGTTAAAAGGAAAGGCTTTAGTGTCTGTTTGCAAGCTCTGCAAATTTGATAATCTAGTCTGCTGCTTTATCTGGATTTTGGCCAAGTCTGCAAGCAGCCTAGCAGTAGCCTTTAATGTTCGGCCTTTGTTGTTTATCCCTGCTGCATAGTATGTGACTGTCCTAACTTGCTACCAGTTAGGTTAAATTTGCAGAGTTATAACCTCTCTCTCTAGGCAAGTTTAATCTGCTTCCAGATGACACTTAAATGAGATACATGCATGTTTTCTTCCTTTAACACTGATTTATGATTTATGCAACCATGGTTGTCCTCTTTTACAGATTCTCCAGGTGGGAAGTGAGGACGCACAGACACACACTTTATTTGCAGATTCTTTTGCTGCTTTGGGTCGTTTGGATAACATTACGTTAGTGATGGTTTTTCACCCACAGTATCTAGAAAGTTTCTTTAAAACTCAGCACTATCTGCTGCAGATGGACGGGCCGCTACCCCTGCATTATCGGCACTACATTGGGATAATGGTTTGTAAACGTTCTTTCTGCCTCCTTTGTTAATTTTTTTTGAAGATGGTCGATGCTTTAAGTGCAGGGGTGAATACTGATGTTCTAACTGTGCTCCCATTAGGTAGTATCTGTTCTTCCTCCTTCTCGGTGAGTGTGCTGTCTAGCACAACAGAAAAAAGCATATTTACACACTGTTGAGAACCATTTTCCCTTAAATAAGAGCATAAAGAACATAAGATCTATTTCACTATTATAAATAGCTCACAGTAATGACATGAATGATGCTACAATTGTATGGTTTGTAAATATTATTCCATTATTTTATAGTTGGCAACTTCATTGAAATTTCTTAGTCTGAGGTTCTGAAACTTGGTATATAAATAAAATTTCTAAAGTTAAAATACTCTATCAGATATTTTGTTTGTTTTTGGGATGTTTCTGAGGTTCTTCCCATGGTGTATGTGAATTTTTTAAATGTCTACATGAAAACTTCATTGCTGTGGTCAATGGAAAATTTGAAAACATACTAATCAAAGACCTAATTGGGTATTTTTCCCATTATAAAGAAAAAAGATTCATATTTCAAGATTTTAATACTGTAGTTGGAATGATCCTGTGGTTTCCTCTTAAGGCTGCAGCGAGACATCAGTGCTCCTACTTGGTGAACCTGCACGTCAACGATTTCCTCCATGTTGGTGGGGACCCGAAGTGGCTGAACGGTCTGGAGAATGCCCCTCAGAAACTGCAGAATCTAGGAGAACTTAACAAAGTCTTAGCCCATAGACCTTGGCTTATTACCAAAGAGCACATTGAGGTAAGTAGTGAAGTAATACATCTAAGGGGTCATTTTAAAAAATGTGAACTTTATTTTTTAGTTCAGAAAATGGCACAGAAAGCACAGCCTCCCATATTGTGCTCCCACAACACTCTGCCCCCGACACACACAGTTTCTCCTGTGATGACATCGAGCGTTAGCCTGGTAGAGTTGCTGTAGCTGATGAACCAATACCGATACAGTACTGTTTAGTCAGGGTTCACTCTGCGTGTTGTGTGGTTCTTCGGGGTTTGCGCTGGCATACACCCACCACCGCAGTACACACAGAATATGAGTCGCTCCTCTAAAAATCCTGTGCTCCCCCAGTCACCTTTCTCTGCTTTCCCTGCAACTACTGATCTTTTCGCAGTAGTTTTGCCTTTTCCAGAATGCCATATCGTTGGAATCATACAGTATGTAGCCTTTTCAGACTGGCTTCTTTGCTTGTGGCATGCATTTAAGATTTCTCTGTGTGTTTTCATGGCTTGGCAGCTCAGTTCTTTTTATTGCTGAATAATACTCCAGGATATGGATGTACTGCAGTTTATTTATCCATTCACCTATTGAAAGGTATCTTGGTTACTTCCCAGTTTGGGGCAGTTATGAATAAAGCTGCTACAAACATTCATATGTAGGGCTTTTGGTGGATATGATTTTACATTCAGCTGGGTAAATAGGAGTGTGATTACTGGATCACGTGGTACGCCTATGTTTAGCTTTGTAAGAGACGGAAGTGTCTCTTACAAAGAGACTGAACTGAACCAGTCTGCATTCCCACCAGCAGTGGATGAGACTCCACAACCGCACCAGCATTTGGTGTTATCAGTGTTCTGCCTTTTAGTCATTCTGATAGGTGTGAAATGGCATCTTGTTGGACATTTTTAAGAAATACCATCTTAAACTAGTTATTTTTGGTTCTTCTAATTACTAGATAATAGAGTAAAAGTAGGTTGACATTCTCTAAACATACCAACTATGCAGTAGAAGTGCTTAAAAATACAACATATTTTTGGTCTTGTCTATTTCATAGAACATATTAGCTATTGCAACATAATTGAAGCATCTTATTATTAGGGAGATATAAGATTTGAATATGATTATTACAATGTCTGTTTTATTTTCTAGTAATGCAAAAGTATACACGATTATAAAATTGATGATAAAGCAAGAAAGGACATAGGTTTGTAAGACTTTGAAGAATTACAGACTCTACCTTGGGCATAATTTTTAAAATAACTTGATGATTTAGGAATATTCAAAGTCAAATTATTTAAATCACTATCTTAAAAATTCCTTGATGAATCCTGATAATGAAAACACAGGCATATTTTATACAGTAGCTTCCACCTTAAACACACGTTTACTATATTTGGTTTGAGAGTTTGGACTAACAACATAGTTGGTGCTGTTCATAATCCAGCATCTAAAATATGACAGCTGCTTTTTAAGCAAAATGCATTCTATTACATCTTTAAATCAGGATTTCAGGAAACCAAAATCATCATGAATGTATCGTCATCTGATTGTGTTAAGTTGTATTTGTGAATACATATTCATAAAAATTAGCAAATTCTACATATTCTGTGTGTCTTGAATTGTAATTTCAGTCTAGCTTTTTTATGGTGACTAAACTTGTATTTAATAGATTAAATACCAGGATGAACTAAATCACCCACAGCATACTCCAGTATAAGAATATGTTCCTTTTTTCCCTCAGGGACTTCTAAAAGCCGAAGAGCACAGCTGGTCCCTCGCGGAGCTGGTCCACGCAGTAGTCCTGCTCACGCACTATCACTCTCTTGCATCGTTCACGTTCGGCTGTGGGGTCAGTCCAGAGATTCACTGTGATGGTGGCCACACGTTCAGACCTCCTTCTGTTGGCAACTACTGCATCTGTGACATTGCAAATGGCAATCACAGCATGGATGAGATGCATGTCAACTCTGCAGGAAATGTTTCGGTAATTATCTGTTATTTGTTACAAGATCGCCGTAAGACTAACCACATGAACTGCTTTCATATTATTTTTTCATTTGGCTTCTTAGAAAAGCCACCCTGTTAAATCCATGGAGATATTAGGCACCCCCTGTACCTATTCATTCAGCAAGTACTCATTGACTGCCTCCAAGTGCCCATCACCACTTAGTGCTAAGAGATGTACAGAAATTGTTAAGGTCCTCTAGGAGGTTACACTTTGGTAGCGTTGGGATGAGGAGCCATTCGCGTGTGCCCCATCAGAGCCAGCTCATACTGAGCAGCTGCGACAGCGAGAGGAGGGGCCTGAGAACAGCGCTACGTGGTCGAGGGGACTTCGGATGCCAGCCACAGCCTTTTCTTCTCTTTTGCACAAAAGAAATAAGCTGGCTTCCTCATCTTTTAAATGTATAGATTTAATCAGCCTTATCTGAAAATTTCACCTGTTAAAATTCTTCTTTATGTTTAACTTCACACACACATATATATAAAAGTGAATACAAATTTATTGAAATGTTTTTCACCTCTATTCCTTCAGTTTGGCTTATTTTCTCAGTTTTGTTATTCTTTTGAAATGGATCAGAACAAGTAGAATTTTCTATATGAAATTGTGTTTCTTGTACGTAAATCAAAATTCTTTCTTTTGCTATAGTGAAAGTTTAAGGGGTTTCTTTTTTGTTTCTGAAGAGAAAATGCAGCCATTTGAATACTTTGTACAGGTTCTCTCAATTGTATTATTCCTTTGAAACAGATTTGGACAGGCTGAATTGCCTTTAACATAAATATTTGTGGGCAAGTTGTCTAACCTGAGAATACGTTCTTTCATGTCTAAATAAAGGTCACACACGTAGGTATTTGAGGTCTAAATGAAAGGTTACAGACCTGGTACAGCTCTTGGCATCTCTCAGGCACTAAGTGAGAGGCAGCGTTTACGTACGGTGAGATTAGTGCCTGAAGGAAAGCCGTTCGAAGGGTGCTCACCGAGCTGTGCCTCCAAGGACCAGCACCAGCAGTTGCACCCTCTGCCGAGCCCCCTGACTCCGGGTGTGGGCCAGAGCATCTACGCAGCTGAGAGGGAGGAGGCGGCAGAAGGGGGGCTTATGAGCTGCTGGATGCTTGAGGCTAGGGTGCTGTCTTTCCCCACCTTCAGTTTAGTGCAAAGCTGAAGGGAAGTGCTTCACTGTGCCTAGCTCTCCAGTGAGATAACAGGGAAATAATAGGAGTTTTTCGCTCTCTAGTAGCAGGCTCCCTGCTCCCAGGGGCTGCGCTGGCTGCTTGGAACGTTCCAGCCTTGCCTGGTGGCACTTGGCCGTGAGCCGAAAGCTGATCCTTCAAGTGCATAGCAAGTGTCTGACTCAGTTTCTCAGATGCAGGTAGTAAAAAACAAACCAGAAAGAATTCCTCATACATTCCTTATTTTAATACTAAAATAAAATGCTTTTATATTTTTTTACACTCCTAACAACTTTAACAGGTTATTCAAGGAGAAAATGAAGTACACTTAGGATCATATGAAAATATAAAGCACAGGAAGTGTAGGCTACTTGTCTCTTTTGTAGAGTTATCCTGACAGTCATTGTGCCGCAAGGATTCCTTCAATGTCTACTATGTGCCAGGCACTGCGCTCAGCTCTGAATATATACTTGTAAACTAAACAGGCTCTTGACCTTACGAAGGTTTGGTCTGAGGAAGGCAGGCATTAAACCAGCGTCACTCAGTAACAGTCACAAACTCCCCTGTGCTCTGAAGGAAAGAGCAGGGTGCTGTGTGAGAATAATCAGGGTGGTGAGATTGGAGGCAGCATGTAAGCTGGCACCTGGAGGACCAAAAGGAGTCAGCCAGGGAAAAATGGAAGAGTAGGGGAAGAATAACACTCCTGGCAAAGGAAATTCGTATCATGAACAATACTAATTTTGTATTTGAACATTGCTATTTAACGTTTTAAGACTTCTTACTTCGTCCGTTTTATAAGCTATAAATTCCATGTATTTGACCCTGCTTTCACAGTAAGGGTGCCGCAGGCTAGGGAAGTGTGAAGTGCTCGGCCAGTCCTCAGTCCTCATGTGCCAGACCTGTTGCTCCACATGTGTGTCTGCTGTAGTCAGACCAGCAAGTGACAGCTGCCAGCCCCATTTGCAGAGGTCGGGTGGACAACTGTGGTCCTGTAAGGACATTTTTAACTGGCAGATTGGGTAGAGCTGATTCCTGTAACTGAAAGGTGATAGGCATATGTTGACAATATGCCCAATGCGGTCAGCTGGTGCAAAGCTACTTATACTTTGCATATCTGACTTAACTAATTAAGTAGAAGTTAACTTAAGATACCCAGTTCTGCTTTAAATTCAAACTGAGCAATGACAATAATGGCATTATCACTAATCTATACAGTAAAAATATTAGAATGTGTTCTTGAAACCGTTTTTCTCATATTATAAAATCTGCTTATCCGTATATGTAATAGGCCAAATAATTCAGTTTTTGATTAATTCATGCACATTAAAATTCTAAGATCTATTTCTTCTATGTTCTGTTAAGATAACAAAATTCTTATGAAACAGACTTAACAAAATAAAACGTGGGAAATCCACTCTGCACCTGACATGTAACGTTGTTGTGTTTTCTCCCCAGGTGAGCGATCCCTTTCTCGAGGTCGAAGCCCTCATGGAGAAGATGCGGCACTTACAGGAATGTCGAGATGAGGGGGCAGCGAGCCAGGAAGAGATGGCTTCACGCTTTGAAATAGAGAAGAGAGAGAGCATGTTGGTCTTCTCCTCGGGTAAAAACAGTCACTACCTAGTCAATAAAGTTTATGCTACTTACAAAAAAAAGCCCAGCTTTTTTACTGAGAGAATGAAAGCCTTTAAAATATCAGTCCAAATACGGTTTTCTTCTTAAGAGAGAGTATTGTGTAGGTATTCCTACTTACAAAGCAGGCAGCCTAGAGAAGGAGGTGACAGTGAAAACAGCACTAAACCAAGAGGACATCTGATTTGGGTTCTGGCACCAAAATCACCGCTGATGAGCTCTGTGGGCGCGAGTCCCCTTGGCCTGTGAGCACCCTTTTGTTCTCCCCCTCAAAATGAGGGAATGGGGTGCACAAAGCCCTGGGGCTGCTGCCAACTTTAAAACTCTGATGTGAAAAGGACACAGTTAACAACCATTAATCCTTTATGCCTGGCCTTTATCTGTATGCAGGCTGCAGGATTTAACACATAAACCCGGTAATTTAAAGGAACAAATGTGTCTCAAAATGTATTTTGACAGTAATAGAGTGGGAGAAAGTATGTGTGTTAAAAGCACAGTTTCTTAGTAGCAAAGAAAAAAAATCAAATTTTATAAATGAAGGTTGGATGTTAGCCTGTTTTCTCCTAGGAAGAGTTTTTGTTTTTGTTTACTTGAAACTAACATCCCAACTCCTGAACATGAAGATAATCCAAAAAGGCTCAGAGCGGTGCCGGAAACATTGTGACATTGACGAGGCACCGAACCTCCTCACTCACCGTTCTAGGACTGTTTCTAGGACCTTCGGGCTATTAGGGAAGTCATGTTCTGTACTGTATGACATTAGTACTCAGCCAGAAATGGCCCCATGCTGAAGCTTAGAGTGCAGCTGACTCGTTGCCGTGGAGACCATCCCAAGGCAGTCGCGCCCTGGGCGTGTTCTCTCAGGTAGAACTCCTGTCTGCACACTGGAGTGGGGCCCAGATGGGGAGGGAGTCTAGGAAAGAGCGGAATGAAAAGCATAGAAAATTCAATATAACAAAGTCAACTTTTATTACATTCCCTTTACTGATAAGTACGCTATTTATAGTTTAAGATTTCACTTTAGTTGATACTGGTTATTCAGTGTCAGAGACAGGTTATCCTGCTTTTACTTGTTATCAGTAAAATTAATTTTAACTAGTATCCTGTTTTTGAAAAGCTTTTAGTGGCTTTTTATTTTTCCCATTATTTCAGATGATGAAGAAGTCACACCAGCAAGAGATGTATCTCGTCACTTTGAGGACACCAGTTACGGTTATAAGGATTTCTCTAGACACGGGATGCATGTTCCAACATTTCGAGTCCAGGTAAAATTGTAACTTGTATGCACATGGTCAGTTAGGAATACCTCAGTCTGACTTAAAATAAGAGCCAGCCACTTGGATTTGAGAAATGTAAGATGTTGCAGAAAAAATTAACTTTGTGTACAGGCAGTTCCCTTAGGTGCATTTATCGTATTTGTAGAGCTCAAAAATCAGCTGCTCAAATTCAAAACACATTCACCCATAAAATAAAATTGCAGTAGTGGTTAAGTGTGGTTTTGTGTACCATCTGGGAACCTAAAATTCATAATATAACTAAACGTTAAATATGAAGTGAGGCAGTTTCCGCCCTCATGCACACTAGGCCTGAGTGCCGAGAAATGCCCTCAGCATCTCAAGCACGTGTGTGTGTGAGCAGAGGGCGAGGGGGTGAGACAGGGAGGGGGTGAGATAGAGGGGGACGGGGTGGAAGGGGGAAGGGGCTGAGATAGAGGTGGAAAGATGTGTTTAAATTACTCCTAGGGAGAGGACACTTCTGGTTTTCTTTTTAATTTGGGTGTGTGTTTGGAAAATAGAAAATGATGACATCACATTCCCATTCCCTTTAAAATATGAACCGAATGTTATTTGAAGCAGCGGGAATTGTTGCGGGTTTCAAATTTAAACCTTGAGAGGATTCATATGAATACTACTACAAGATTGTTTAACATCGATCTCTGAGTGAATAAAATCAGTGATGTATGGAGTAGAATTGTTTGTAGACCCAGTTTCTTCAGCTCCAAAATCATTAACTTTAAAATACACAGACTACCGCAGTGTAATTCTGCACATATTGAGTCCACGGAAATTTAGAGACCTGGAGGTCCTTTAGAATACCAGGCTTCTGTTCCCCTGGCAGAAGGCCCCGTGCCCGGTGCTTCGCAAGCATATCTCATGGGAACAGTAACTGTGTCTTCTAGTTACAGAATAAAAGTTGAGGATCATCAGTTAGCAAATACATACTCTGTGCTCTGGTCCTGTAGACTGCTTTTTGATCCATCATCAGAAATGTACTGTAGTTTAAATGTATTTCTTAAATATCTATTGTAGAAATAATTTAGATATATATTTAATTCAGATGTATTGATATTCCCAACTTTCCCAATTATTGTGAGAAGCCAATGTTAATTAATAACTATCTTACCAGAATTATGAAAATATTTAAGGACTGTAAGATTTTGTTTCTTTGCTCAAAGAACTAAGATATTAGGGGACAAAATATTTCTACATGATGGAAATTGTGCCATGAAATAAGACTAGAACTTGAAGAGATCATATGAGCTGGAAATTTTATGGAGGGAGATTAGGATCTGGGAGATTTCAGTGGTCCAAAAGCAGGGTACCGAAACCAGAGGAGCCTGTAGACAGTAAAGAACTTAGGCTGAGGGACAGAGGGGAGGGATCGTGAAGAGACTGACTGGCCTTGGTAAGAGCTTCAGGCAAAGGATTCCTACCTCTGATCAGTGGGAAGTTAGTTTTAAATTGGTGAGGTTTGTAGGTTTTACCTAGAATGATGGCTTAGCATCAGTGAGGTATTTTAGGAAAATAAATATGGAACATAGAAGTAGGAGGGGGTGCTTAAGTTTTGTCTAGATGAAGAGAAAGGAAGCAGGGAGATTTAATGTAGGAAAACTAACAAGGAGACACAGTTGATAGGACCAAGAGTCAGAGGGGGACAGGACGAAACGGAATGAGTGTTGAGTTAAAAATTCACAAAATTTGAGGACCATTTAAATAGCCGCAGCAATGGAAGAGGAGAAAGGACTCAAGGCGGGGAGACAGAGAAAGCAAGCTGGGAACGGGGGGACTGTGTGTGAGGGGAAAAGATTCCACTGGCTTTTAGACTCAGTCACAGAACAGCCTTTTGGGTGCTGCAGTATAGAAACTGAAAACAGACTGGGGTGCCAGGGTGCCGGAAGGCAGCAGACTCCCACTGCCAGGCATCTCCCCATGCTGCCCAGCCGTGAAACAGAACTCTGTCTGGCCACTTGTTGATGCTTCACGTCTGTCCTGTTCTGTACTCAGGACTATTGCTGGGAAGACCACGGTTACTCTCTGGTCAATCGCCTTTATCCAGATGTGGGACAGCTGATCGACGAGAAGTTCCACATTGCTTACAACCTCACTTACAATACAATGGCGATGCACAGAGATGTCGATACCTCGATGCTCAGACGGGCTATTTGGAACTATATTCACTGCATGTTCGGAATAAGGTTAGTTCGGTTTCTTATACTCAGTCATTTTTCCCTTAGCTGCTTGGAACACACACAGACACACGTATAAGTACATCGAAAACCATGCCTGCTCCAGGAGCTCATTGCTATGCTGGTTATGCTTCAGAACCATTTCACTGCAGGACTGTTTCCTCTCCTAGCTGGGCAGGAGCGAGAGTTAGGGACTTGCCAGATGCCTCCAGGGAGGGGAGGGCAAGCCAGCCGGACCAGGGCAGAGAGGGAACGAGGCAGGGTTTGCACCACACAGCTCTGGTGTCAGCTACCTCCTGACGCGCTCGGATTTCTGCCTTCTTGGACCTTAGCACCATTACAGCGCCTTCCTGGCCGTCCTCGGCTGCTTCTGAAGAGCACCTGCCCCCGCGATGCTGCACCGGAGCACAGCTGTCACGTCCTGGGAGGTGCTCAGTCACATACAGCGTTACATAGGAAATGCCGCCACCATACGCCACCTCCTGATGTACCCACACAGACTTAATGCCACAGTGTTTTCTGATTATTTTAGCTGTAAAGTCAGGCCTGCTCTTGCTGCCCATTTTAGCAGTGGCCAGCCTGCTGACTTCAGCCACCTGAGTGGCTTTAGGACCAGCTTTGCTCTCTTCCGCTGCAGACAAGTGTCAGGCTCTTTGCGGAGTGTTCTGGAAACCATCGCCCAGCGGGGCGAACACTGGTACCTGCGGCCATCCTGGCTGAATGCACAGCAGCCTCAGTACTGACACTGTGAGGCCATCTGTAGACCATCCTTCCCTCTGGAACAGCCCTCCTGCCCAATTTTTTTCTCATCTGACCCCAGAAACTCCTGGAAACATGAGAAAAATGATTCTAATTATTTTTATTTGCACAAGTGGGTTACAGTTTATTTCTATATCATGTAATAGTATCAATAGTAAATATTGTCTGATTAACTTGTTAATTTCTTTATTCCAGCAGCACTCAAACTCTTTCTAGAATTTGTTCCTCAGTGCGGAGGCTGACTCGTGGCTGTCAATACGCATGGTCGCTCGGGCACGGAGAACTTCCTGTTCGTCTCCTTAGCTGCTCTGCTCCTCGCCTCTCTATGCTCACACTCCCCCCTACCAGCCCCCAGTTAAACATTGTAAAGCTGTTTATTTTGGGGGACAGCTGCCTGCACAAAGAGAAGAACACAGCATTATTGTTGATGTCCATATTTCATAAGAACAACACATACACACTGAAGATACAATAATTCTCACTCTGTCTTTTAACAGATATGATGACTATGACTATGGTGAAATCAACCAGCTTTTGGATCGTAGCTTTAAAGTTTATATCAAAACTGTTGTTTGCACTCCTGAGAAGGTCACCAAAAGAATGTATGACAGCTTCTGGAGGCAGTTCAAGCACTCTGAGAAGGTATGTCCCTGTTGTGGCTTGTTTACTCTGTGACTTAGCAGCGACTTTTAGCTGCCTTTGCCCAGTGGCTCTCGAACCCTTTCCGTCACTTCTGCCCACCCAGAGAACATTCCAGGACAGCTGTCTCAGATACCCCTTGGAAGGGCTCCTCATCCATGGTGCTGAAGAACAAAGACAGGGAGGACGGGCGGCAGGCCTGGCACCAGTTAGGGGCACTTACGGATTGCCTACAGATAGAAACGCCTGGTCTTTGAGCCATCTTTGTAGAAATCATTAAATGATGATTTGGCAGGGGAAGTTGGTGTTCTAATGCAGTGTTTAGATTTTCTGAAATATAATAAACCTCCAAAAAGATATGTGATCAGATATAAGGTCAAATCATCTGTCCAAAAAGAACATCAGCTAGCTTTTGTTCTGAGAAATTGATGTTCTGTTCAACAAACCCAAGATTTCTGAATTACTCAGTGGCACAGAGAAAATGTACGTCCTTTTGTTGCTTATTAGATGATGCTCTGAAAAACTGCAGGCTTATAACATTACCTTAAGCGATGTTGTTTTATATTCAGGTCCACGTTAATCTGCTTCTTATAGAAGCTAGGATGCAAGCAGAACTCCTTTACGCTCTGAGAGCCATTACCCGCTATATGACCTGATGCCTCGCCACGGGCGGTGACGGAACCATCAGCAGACGTGCTCCACAAGGGGAAGGTACTAAGCCCCAGGACCAATGGTAGATCACCCAGGTGCCATGACTCCTTTAGTTTCTGCTCTTTCACTGTGGAAAGGCTCCTGCTGGCACGAGCAGCATGTGCTTGGCAGCTTCCTGTTTAGGCCTGTGAAGACCGGCTGCCATCCACAGTGTTTCGCTTTTTGACAGTACAAGCTGCTGCATGACTGTTTTAAGACAGCAGCTAGTAACTCTCCAAATCTCGTTGCTTTTATGTCAAATAAGAACACGAATTGGAGCATGCAGAGAACGGGACTTGGAAAATGACATAAGCTTTTATATATAAGGAATTTTAGGTCTTGGTGCTGCTATTCTTGCTGGTGGGGTGCAGAGTGGCTGTCCCAGTTAAGCTGTCAGCGATAAAGCGAACACTGCTATTGTCTGAGCCTACATATGTAATTTGTGTGGTTTCGAATGAAACTTGCATATGTGTTCATTTTTTTTGCATCTAAAAACAGAATTCTTACAGCTCAGCGAAGACCATTTTGATGGTAAAGCTCATTTCTTTCATTATAGTTTTTTAAAATTCAGAACTATTGATGACATTACAGTAGTATCTTAAAAGATTTTCTTCAAAAAGCGATCTTAAATGAAAGTGTGTAAATTATTAGAAAAGCTGGCTATCTCTGGATATGCCATTTCCCAAAGTTCTCCGACACTGAGGGTAGCTGTCTTGTGCAGTATTTTTCTTTCTAGCACCAAAGCTGCAGGAAGTGTTGCTGTGGACTGCTGCCCACTGCACAGCCTGGTGCATTCTGCCCACCTTGTGGTGCCCACTTCACAGGTTATGCAGCTCCTTAAATAATAAAGCTGGAAGATATTTTTAAGTCAGGTTATCAAATTTGATTTATAAAATGCTGACTTTGAAATGTAAACAGGTTTGAAAAATATTAAGTACTTTGTATTCTGGAAGTATGAATTGCTTTTGAAGTCTGTCAGTATTATTGGTATTTTTCAATAAAGGATAGTTTTTCTCCAGTTTTAGTGCTGTCCCAATCCTTCACAATCAGTAATAATTCTGAGTTTGTTTACCGTTTTTTATAAGGCAAGTAGGTTCAGAAGTAACATAATCAGATGAGAGACTGCTGCTGTTTAAATGGCAGAGTCTGGAAGTCATTCTGAAGGACTCAGGGAAGGGTGGGCCTTTGTGATCCTCTCTCAGACCCCCGGGAAGGCCTGGTGCAGCCCGTGCCTTACTGCTTTTGAAATGAGCTGTTTTACATTTCAACCAGACTTACTAGAAACAAGGGCTAATTAGGGGGCAACTACAGAACAAAAAAACTAGAAATAGCTCTAAATTTAATCAAAGCTGTTGCAATAACTGTCACATTTATTGAGTTCAATCCAGTTCCTACAAATTTATAACGGGGTAGGGAGACGAGGGGAGGTGGCACCTAACTTCAAGGACACAGCGAGACGACCAAACACTTGGGCTGGAAATCCTTGTCATGGTGGGAGCCCGGAGCTGGCTCGCGTCCTGCCCACTGGGTCGCAGCCCGTGTCTGCCCTTTGCTGCCTGCTGCCCTGACCCAGCAGCAGGCGAGCCCAGAGTCCGGCTCGCTGGGTACAGTCAGGTTCCCGCTTGTTTCGCTCCTCTGTCCTCGGTGCTCCCTTCTGGAAATGCAGAGCTGCTTACGGAGGTTCTGACCGGCACTAGGGTGATCACAGAACAAGACGAGCTGATGCATTAGCTTAGTCTGCTGACTTCTCAGTTGCTTCTTAGAAATCACAAGCCGAAATGAAAATTTTAATGAGTAAAAATGGTGCTTATACCTAAAGCAGTGAAGGCAAGCCTGTGATACAGAGTTGATGTTTCAACACCTCCAATTCAGCAGGTGTTTCCTGTTACTCAGAATGTTTTCTCAAAACTAAAACAGCTTCAAAGATTATAGTAACATCACAAATCCTAACAGTTTACAAAACAATGGGAGAAGGTAGAATACTCCATGGAATAACAAAAACCCTCCTCCACAAGAGGAAAGTTTTTTCTTAAATAATCATAAAAAGATTTCTGGTTGATATTTCCAGGATTCAAAGTTTAAAATCTGTCTTTTGGTAAGAGTTGGGGAACGTTTTTAAGGCAAATTTAATTTAGTATTACTATAAGAATGAGATTAAATTCCAAACACTTAGGAGTTTTTACCAGTTATTTAACTTCATATAAACAGTGGTGGTGTTTTTAACTTAAAATTCATTTAAAAGCTGAGATTTTCATTCATCTAATGGTCTAGCTATTTCAGATTGGTTTTGATAACAGAGCATTGGTAGGTAAGATAAAACTTGTTGGATAAGCATGTTTTCCATCATTAAGATAGTTTATCAGCACATTTGTGTCTAGTGAATGTCAAGGGACAGCACAAGGCAGGAGAATGAGTAGTGACATCCCCAGTGAAGCTCCAGTTCTTCGTTCCTCAGGGAGACCCTGAGTTAACAATAATATAAGAGCCAAAATACCTTTGTGAGATCTCCAGAAACTAACTGGGAAGCTCAGCACCCAGGCAAACACCAAGCCAGCAGGGGACGCCGAAGCCCGTAGGAAGGTCTGCGGGCCCTGGCCCTTCCCCAGCCCAGCACAGCCTGACACAACCGAGAGGAAGCTCCCAGTTACCGTTCCTCCCTCAGGACAGAAAGGAAAAAGGGGAGCCTGTGTTCGACATTCCCGCTTGTCTGGTGGCCACCTGGACTAGACTCTGTCTCAACAGACTTGAAATACCAGTGGGAGTGGCGGCATAGTTTGGGTGCTGGTTGGAAGCCACTCGAAGCAGAAGTGAGCACAGAGGTACATTCGAGCATCAAAGGGTCTATAATTCTGCAGGCAGGTACAGAGGATGCCGGAGAGTACAGACAGCAGCACAGCAGAAACGGAAACGAAGCTCCTGAGAAAAAGCAGGGGCGAGCCTCCTGGGAATCTAAGACGGTTAAAAGAATGTGTATACCCTGGAATAATACACACACACACACAGTCCTGCCCACTGGGTCGCAGCCCGTGTCTGCCCTTTGCTGCCTGCTGCCCTGACCCAGCAGCAGGCGAGCCCAGAGTCCGGCTCGCTGGGTACAGTCAGGTTCCCGCTTGTTTCGCTCCTCTGTCCTCGGTGCTCCCTTCTGGAAATGCAGAGCTGCTTACGGAGGTTCTGACCGGCACTAGGGTGATCACAGAACAAGACGAGCTGATGCATTAGCTTAGTCTGCTGACTTCTCAGTTGCTTCTTAGAAATCACAAGCCGAAATGAAAATTTTAATGAGTAAAAATGGTGCTTATACCTAAAGCAGTGAAGGCAAGCCTGTGATACAGAGTTGATGTTTCAACACCTCCAATTCAGCAGGTGTTTCCTGTTACTCAGAATGTTTTCTCAAAACTAAAACAGCTTCAAAGATTATAGTAACATCACAAATCCTAACAGTTTACAAAACAATGGGAGAAGGTAGAATACTCCATGGAATAACAAAAACCCTCCTCCACAAGAGGAAAGTTTTTTCTTAAATAATCATAAAAAGATTTCTGGTTGATATTTCCAGGATTCAAAGTTTAAAATCTGTCTTTTGGTAAGAGTTGGGGAACGTTTTTAAGGCAAATTTAATTTAGTATTACTATAAGAATGAGATTAAATTCCAAACACTTAGGAGTTTTTACCAGTTATTTAACTTCATATAAACAGTGGTGGTGTTTTTAACTTAAAATTCATTTAAAAGCTGAGATTTTCATTCATCTAATGGTCTAGCTATTTCAGATTGGTTTTGATAACAGAGCATTGGTAGGTAAGATAAAACTTGTTGGATAAGCATGTTTTCCATCATTAAGATAGTTTATCAGCACATTTGTGTCTAGTGAATGTCAAGGGACAGCACAAGGCAGGAGAATGAGTAGTGACATCCCCAGTGAAGCTCCAGTTCTTCGTTCCTCAGGGAGACCCTGAGTTAACAATAATATAAGAGCCAAAATACCTTTGTGAGATCTCCAGAAACTAACTGGGAAGCTCAGCACCCAGGCAAACACCAAGCCAGCAGGGGACGCCGAAGCCCGTAGGAAGGTCTGCGGGCCCTGGCCCTTCCCCAGCCCAGCACAGCCTGACACAACCGAGAGGAAGCTCCCAGTTACCGTTCCTCCCTCAGGACAGAAAGGAAAAAGGGGAGCCTGTGTTCGACATTCCCGCTTGTCTGGTGGCCACCTGGACTAGACTCTGTCTCAACAGACTTGAAATACCAGTGGGAGTGGCGGCATAGTTTGGGTGCTGGTTGGAAGCCACTCGAAGCAGAAGTGAGCACAGAGGTACATTCGAGCATCAAAGGGTCTATAATTCTGCAGGCAGGTACAGAGGATGCCGGAGAGTACAGACAGCAGCACAGCAGAAACGGAAACGAAGCTCCTGAGAAAAAGCAGGGGCGAGCCTCCTGGGAATCTAAGACGGTTAAAAGAATGTGTATACCCTGGAATAATACACACACACACACACACACACACACACACACACACACACACACACACACACACGGAAGGTTCGAGAGACTGGCAAAGTCAGTCTGTAAAAATTGGAAGAGGTGGTTATTTTTCAAATGCCCAAACCTCAAGAAAATTTAGAAGGCATATAAAAAAAAACAGGAAAACATAGCTCAATCTAAGAAACAAATCTCTAGAGACCTACCTTAAAAGAAAAGCAGATCTCTGAATTACCTGACAAGAATTTAAAGCAATTGTCTTGAAGATGCTCAATGAAAAGAGAATAAAAAATCAGGAATAAGATGAACAGAATGAGAAGACTGTAAAAGAAACTTTAAGAACCAAATTCTGGAGCTGAGGAATATGATAACTGAATTGAAAAATCCAGAGTTTGGCAGGAGATCTGATGAGACAGGAGGACAAACCAGAAATCTTGAAGACAGGTTATTTGATATTACCAAGTCGGGGACAAAAAAAAAAATGAAGAAAAGTGAAGACAGCCTAAGGGACTTCAGCACACCATCAAGCAGGCTGATACACATGTTACAGAAGAGACAAAAACGGGCAGAAAATTTATTTAAAGGTAATGAATAAAAACTTGGCAAATTTGAGGAAAGATATAAGCATACTAATTCAAGCTCAACAAACTGCAAGAAGGATAAATCCAAAGAAACCGCATTGAGACAGACTGTAATCAAACTGATGAAAATCAAAGAAAAAGAATCCTGAAAGTAATTTGTCATGTACAAGGGAGCTTCTATGCGATTAACAGCCAGTTTTTCAGCAGAAGCCTTGCCAGATGGCAGGAGAATGATACATTCAAAGTGCTGCAAGGAAAAAACAACCAAGAATATACTATTCAGCAAAACTATTCTTTAAAAAAATGGAGAAATTAGGACTTTCCCAGGATGTATCTGAGGGAGTTTATTACCACCAGACCTGCCCTACAAGAAATGTTTAAAAGAAGTCTAAGTTGAAATAAAAGGATGCCACAGACTAATGCAAGGCCGTATGAGAATACAGTTCTCTAGTGTTGATAAATATGTGGACAACAGAAACCTTACTTGCTACAGAAATATAGTATTGCTATAATTTTGATACTTAAATCCACTTTTAGTTCTTGTATAGAATTTGAAAGATAAAAGCAAGAAAAACCACTATAATCTATGTTAGTGGTACAAAATTTATAGATATAATTTGTGACATCAATAACCACAAAGTGGAGGGTGGACAGGGTGTAAAGGAGTGGAGTTTTTGTATAAAATTTAAGTTGTTATCAGTTTAAAACAGATTATTATAACTGTAAGGTCTTTTAAATATAATTCCCATGATAGCCACAAAGAAAATATCTCTAGAATTTACAAAGAAATGAGGACATAAAAGCATGT